CACTACCCGAAGGAGTCTCAAAGCGGCTAACATTCTCCTTTCCCTTCCTCCCCCACAACAAACACTATGTGAGGTGAGTGAGGCTGAGAGACTTCAGAGAAGAGTGACTAGCCCAAGGTCACCCAGCAGCTGCATGTGGAGGAGCGGGGAAGTGAACCCGGTTCACCACATTACGAGTCCACTGTTCTTAACCATTGTTTATGCCAATGCACAGCTGGTCACATTTTGTGTTTGTTGGATGTATTTTACGTAATGCTAGGTTTGATGTTGTTTTACCAATGGGATGGCAGCACTGAAGGATGTTTCTTCACTCTGCGGGGAGCATTCAAGAACACCTCCCACCTCCATTGTGAAGTATTGCACCACAGACACAGTTCAGCCACAGTGCAATGCTGTTGGTGGAGGCCATTCTTAGACTTTGAATGATTCTAACAGCAAACCCTCTGTGTGAAGAAAAGACTTGGCCAAGCGAAGATTGCCTCCAAATAATTAATGGTCAGAGCACAGTGCAAGCCAACTCCAGATCTTCAATAGTTCGCCCTGCAGCACAACATATTTGCACAGATGCTTCTTTCTGCCTGAGAATATACAGTAGAAGCAACTGTAGCAAAGCAAGCAGCAGCTGGGATAGCAAAATCCTGCAACGAAGTCATTACACATTCCAGTATATACAAAAAAGACGAGTCACCCTGGGTAGAGAACCATTGTGAGGTAATAATTAATGTTAATGCCTCTGATTAAATATGTATATGCAACCCTTTGGAATATTGAATGGGAAAACACACACGCACCCCCAGCAATGTTGCAGTGAGCCACAGGATCTGATCTATGCCTACAATATTACTTACTTTAATAATTGATTTTACATGGGGTAAACGGCAAAACTTTGCAAAACTTTTTTCAAGCCCATAAAGATTTGTGAAGGTTTTCTTTAAGGAAACAATAGAACATGGAATTTTGAAAGCATAGAGCTAACTGGCCTTAATCAAAATCCTTCTTTAGGCCAGAATCTGAAATATAACTGTATGGAGACAAGTTTCATTGGCATTAACATATACTAGGATAAGGATGCAAAACAATGGAGGGTGTGAAAAACTGCCATTGTAATTTAATTGCAGTATGCGTAGTATTTACAGTATTTAAACGGGAGGCAATTAACTTGTGATGTCTCTAGGTCATTTCACACATTACTGAGGCAAATCTGGGTTTACCATATATATGGACTGTTTGGAGCATTGAAGGCAATCAGAGCAGTATATCAGTCACATGATGCACATCTTTTCAAAAGCATGCTCACTGCAGTAATGTTTTACATTTTCAGGTATATAACGTGTGAAGTGATCATATCCAGTGGCAGCTGGTGGGGTAGGTCAGCAGGACTTTCCTAACCACCTGACCTCTTTTTTTAAAAAAAATATTTATACTTTTCAAATATATTCATTTCACTGATTTTACAATCATTTTGACATTTTAAAACTTGACTTCCTTTGCCCTCTTCCTGCGGTTCCTTAAATTTATTTTTAATATCTTCTGCATATCCAAATTACCTTAACTTACTCATTTATCTTCTTTATATATATACTCTTATGTAGCTGCAGGTTATTACAATAATCCTACCAGGTTTTTATCTGTTTACAATTTATCTGTAAAAAATCAATAAAACATTTCCATTCTTTTATAAAAAGTTTGTTACCTTGATTTCTTATTCTTCTGGTAAGTTTCGCAATTTCTGCATATTCCTTAAGTTTTTGTATCCTTTTCTGGGGCTTCTTCTTCTTTCCATTTTTGGGCAAGTAACATTCTTGCTGCTGAGGTTGCATACATGAATAGATTTCTATACAATTTAGGTGGTCCTATCCTTATAATTCCCAAGAGAAAGGCTTCTGGTTGTTTTTTTAACAAATGTTATTTTAAACATCCTTTTCATTTCATTGTATATCATTTCCCAGTAAGCCTTCACCTTACTACAAGACCACCACAGGACGTACCTGACCTCTTGGTACTGACATCACTGTGAACTGTTGTTTAGCCGTTTAGTCGTATCTGACTCTTCGTGACCCCATGGACCAAAGCACGCCAGGCACTCCTATCTTCCACTGCCTCCCGCAGTTTGGTCAAATTCATGCTGGTAGCTTCGAGAATACTATCCAACCATCTCGCCCTCTGTCATCCCCTTCTCCTTGTGCCCTCCATCTTTCCCAACATCAGGTTCTTTTCCAGGGAGTCTTCTCTTGTCATGAGGTGGCCAAAGTATTGGAGCCTCAGCTTCAGGATCTGTCCTTCCAGTGAGCACTCAGGGCTGATTTCCTTAAGAATGGATAGGTTTGATCTTCTTGCAGTCTCCTCCAGCACCACAATTCAAAAGCATCAATTATTCGGCGATCAGCCTTTTTTATGGTCCAGCTCTCACTTCCATACATCACTACCGGGAAAACCATGACTTTAACTATACGGACCTTTGTTGGCAAGGTGATGTCTCTGCTTTTTATGATGTTGTCTAGGTTTGTCATTGCTTTTCTCCCAAGAAGCAGGCGTCTTTTAATTTCGTGGCTGCTGTCACCATCTGCAGTGATCATGGAGCCCAAGAAAGTAAAATCTCTCACTGTCTCCATTTCTTCCCCTTCTATTTTCCAGGAGGTGATGGGACCAGTGGCCATGATCTTCGTTTTTTTGATGTTGAGTTTCAGACCATATTTTGCGCTCTCCTCTTTCACCCTCATTAAAGGGTCCTTTAATTCCTCCTCACTTTCTGCCATCAATGTTGTGTCATCTGCATATCTGAGGTTGTTGATATTTCTTCCGGCAATCTTAATTCCGGCTAGGGATTTATCCAGCCCCGCCTTTCACATGATGAATTTCACTGTGAATTATTATTGGTCAAACCAGCTCAGTATGATTGACACTAGGAGTTTCCCAAATGTGGGTCTTCAGCTGTTGCTGGACTATAACTCCTATCATCCCTAGCTAGCAGGACCAGTGTTCAGGGATGATGGGAACTGTAGTCCAAAAACAGCTGGAGACCCAAATTAAGGAAACTCTGATCTACCCAGATTGGCAGCAGCTCTTCAGGGTTTCAGGCAAGGAACATTCCCAGTTCTACTTGGAAATGCTGGAGATCAAACTTGAGACCTTTTGCATGCATAGTAGATCTCTACCTCTAAGCTATGGCCATTTCTCATTATAAAAACATCAGAATAAAAAACACAAAAAACACAGGCACATAAGAACTGCTGAGTAGCAACCGCCTAATGTTCAACACAATGCCATCAGTGAGATCAATATAGATTAATCCAGCCCTGTGAATTCAGGTTTGCATGTCATGCTTTTTCTCTGCTTTGATCAGGGCTCTCCTGAGGCTCTTCCTCAAAGAACCACTGGAACAAGATAAAGATCCTTGCACCATCCCTTGAAGCCACTTTATTAAGAGGAGCAGCCAATTTCAATTTATTTCAATTAAGTCATCTGCTCCAGCATGCAAGGAATACATTATTTTTCTCCTAGGACACAATTAGCAGGCATTAGACAAAGCGGGTATGATTTCCAAGTGTTGGGAGAAGGGGATGAAATGCTGGCCTCTGTCAACATCCAGCAACATTCTCCTCTCTTTGCACATTCGTTGGCTGCCATCCTGTTCACATTCTGTCTTCCAACACATAAACTCTAAGCTGTCATGTTGAAATCAATTGATTTTTTTATATATAATAAAAGGGGTCCTCTAAGCCTATGCTTTCAGGACGTGCCAGTACTCAAACTTCAGACCCAACAAGACTTTCACCAAAGACTAGGGGAAGCACAACCCTCTGGGAGCTGCCAGCCCAGATAGCAAACCTGGAGACTCTCTGTACATTCCAAAGCATAGCTAGTGACCTCTTCCCCAGATGACACCCTGTCTGAGGGATCGCCAATGATAGAGACCACTCCAGTCTTCTGTTGGGTTTTGGAACTCATGGAGGAAGTGGAAGCAACTAAGAGCACCTTTTCCAATCACAGCTAGGCTAAGTAGGACCCTGGACAGCTCCCAATGGGCCCTGATGCCCAGCTGTAAAAGATGCTGCATGCATCTTCAGCACTCCCAAGACCTCAGCAGTAGCAGTGGGAGTGAGCTCAGGTTGATGGGATGGCCTGACAATTTGGACCTGCTTAGCAGTCCAAGGACTCTCATCCATTGGGTGCGGGGAGGAGGCAATTTTCATGCATGCTCTGGATCCTGATGCTGGGCAGTTCCAGGACGATTCAGGGCCATCTGTTCATGAGTTCTTAGAGCTGGTGCAACAGCTTGGCCTCACCACAACTCCTTTTTTATTTCTACCCTATCTTTCCTGCCTCTCCTCAGATTAGGCACCGATTCCTGGCTTCCTGCTTCACTGGCTATGCAAGCACAAATGCAGGATACAAATACTTTGGACCAGGACAGTCTCCATCCTGGAAGTAATACTAATACTAATACTAATACTAATACTAATACTTACACAGCACCCATCTGACTGGGTTGCCCCAGCCACTCTGGTCATCTTCCAAGATAATATAAAAAACACAGAAAAACACCAAACACAAAAAAACTTCCTGATACAGGGCTGCCTTCAGACGTCTTTGGAAAGTCGTATAATTGTTTATCTCTTTGACATCTGATGGGAAGGCATTCCACACGGCCGGTCAAGTGATTCTGAAGGGCCAATCCAATGCTACTGCCTGATAGATCTAAGTCCAAAGTCTGCTGCACTCTCCATCTTGTTGCTGAGAGAACACACTGAACTACCTCCCCTGCACGTCTACAATGTTTCCTTGGGCCTGTCTATTGTCTTAGCAGCCTTCCCTGTCATTTCCCCCAAATCTTAAGAACCATTGCATCACCTTCATTTGGGCTACAAGCTCCATCCTGGTAATTTTATTTATTCTATTTATAAAAAATTAACACACTGCCATTTATATACTGCACTATCAAGGCCATGTACAGCAACAAAATATATCGAGACACTTGCAACCTCTCCTGCCCATTTCTGAACTGTTTGCCTTCGTATATGCTCTGCTTGTGCATTTGTCAATGAAGCAAACATGTGGCAGCTAACACCACACACTTGCTTTATTGATAAGTGCACAAGCAGAGCAAATATGGAGGCAAACAGACACTCTTACAGCAGGAAGCAGATCATTAGCCCTGGGGAAAACTACATCCCAGGTTTCAGCTAGCTGCTCTCAGCTCATCTCTCACTCTTTTAAAGTGCAAGCTGCCTCTTCCTTTCTCCCTCTGTCCCTTCTACCCAGCAGAACACTAGTCTGCAATTCCACCCCTGCAGGTGAATTACCCGATCAGGAAACATCTGCATCCATTAAAGGAACATTAAGGTTCTTTTGTCAAATCCCTGCTATACCACCAGGTAACAAGTTATGCAAAACTGTGGCAACAGGCCCATTCAAAGTAATCAAAGAGCCGCAGGCCCAACAAATATTAGGGGTGGGGGGAGGGATTGGGACACTATGTAACATCAGTCAGAATGAACGTTCACCTGAGGGAAATATGAAGAGGTATAATTTGACTCAGATAAAAGTCAACAGGTTATTAAATGGATTTTGCAACGTACTTTGCAAAGACTCGGGCTGCCAGTGTGTAGAGCAAAACCTTTGCATATCTTGTTAATTTTGCAAAACTATTCTAAGGTATAGGGGACGTGGGTGGCACTGTGGGTTAAACCACAAGGCCTAGGACTTGCTGATCAGAAGGTCGGCGGTTCAAATCCCTGCAATGGAGTGAGCTCCCGTTGCTCGGTCCCTGCTCCTGCCAACCTAGCAGTTCGAAAGCATGTCAAAGTGCAAGTAGATAAATAGGTACCGCTCCGGCGGGAAGGTAAATGGTGTTTCTGTGTGCTGCTCTGGTTCGCCAGAAGCGGCTTAGTCATTCTGGCCACATGACCCAGAAGCTGTACGCCGGCTCCCTCGGCCAATAAAGCAAGATGAGCGCCGCAACCCCAGAGTCGTCCACGACTGGACCTAATGGTCAGTGGTCCCTTTACCTTTTCCTTCTAAGGTATGTCTAAATTTTGTTTAGAATCATTTGGGTGCCCAGCACAAGTAGAAAAACAACATGTTTCCAGAAATGGCCGAAACGTTCCCGTGTAAGCAAGGAAGAGCCTTTCTGAAGACGGGGGCTATTTGTCAGGAAGTGCACCCCCCCTTTGTTTCAGCAATATATTTTCCTGCTTTCTTTCATGCCGGCACTATTTGCTTGCAAAAGCTGGTGTTCAGATGATTCAATACAGATATGAATCATAGTTGCACGATGATACTATCATATGCATTTCTAGTAGCTTCATTCACAAAGTGACCCAAATGGACTTGAGAGATAATACTAACGTTAAAACAGTATAAGAAACTAAAACAGGAAAATCGATGGCAGGTGGTACATGACTTACTCGAAATTGGCACACATCAATAACACCTATTCAGGGATCCTGCAGAGAGGCTATGACACTACAGGATCATACATGTATATGTGGTGGCAGCGTACCAAATTGTGGGGTGCTATATTTACCAACAAAGGTCCGTATAGTTAAAGCTATGGTTTTCCCAGTAGTGATGTATGGAAGTGAGAGCTGGACCATAAAGAAGGCTGATTGCCGAAGAATTGATGCTTTTGAATTATGGTGCTGGAGGAGACTCTTGAGAGTCCCATGGACTGCAAGAAGATCCAACCTATCCCTTCTTAAGGAAATTAGCCCTCAGTGCTCACAGGAAGGACAGATCATGAAGCTGAGACTCCAATACTTTGGCTACTTCATGAGAAGAGAAGACTCCCTGGAAAAGAACCTGATGTTGGGAAAGATGGAGGGCACAAGGAGAAGGGGACGACAGAGGACAAGGTGGTTGGATAGTGTTCTCAAAGCTACCAGCATGAGTTTGACCAAACTGCGGGAGGCAGTGGAAGACAGGACTGCCTGGCGTGCTCTGGTCCATGGGGTCACAACTAAACTACTAAACAACAACAACATATTTAGCAAAATAATAGGAAACAAATATTGTTAAAATACAACAACTGACATTGTTAAATCTTTTTGTGGAAGAAAATGAGGATCTGTTATTTAAAACCTTGATAGACTTGGTGACTGTGAGAATAATATTGGTTCACTCTTGGAGGACTTAGGAGGAGCAAACTTAGATCAGTGGTATCCTAAACTGTGGCAAGTAGCCCAACTGGAAAATCTTACTCAAAAACTTAGGTAGCAGGACCAATGGTCAGGGATGATGGGAGTTGTAGTCCAAAAACAACTGGAGACCCAAGTTTTGGAAACCCTGCTTTAGATAGTGGTGTTAGAATTTTTACATCTGTTTATATAAGATATATGTGAAAATTTTCTCTCTCTTTTGATTGTCTTTAACAATGATGGTGTGATAACATGGATAACAGTAGCAATTAAATTGCAAAAGCAATGTATTCTCAAAAGCAAAAAAAAAAAAGCAAGAAAATGGGGGGGGGGGGATGAAAACTAGATGAGACTTTGAATGACGTGGTGCACAGCTTCACCAGGAATACTGCTGTATTTTTCTCTTTTGTCCTTGGGATATTAGGCTGTGCTTATGGAAGAAGGCAGGCATGTTTGCTCTGCCTGAGCAGATCTGTTCTGCTGAGCTGCATCATGGCTCCATCTTATCTTCACATTCTAGCACCGACTATTTGATGCAAGTGATCTGGAAAATTGTTTCCCTGTTTATATCATTTTGGATTTCAGGGGACAGTAGCAACAACATTGCATTCCCTGCCAGTGGTTCAACAGCACTCCATAGTGTTTTAGGAACCAAAGGCGGGCAGATGGGGAATGTCTGAACATTCTCTCATTTCAATTGGTCGCAGCCTTTATTCAATCTTCTAACAAGCACAAATCCTTCAAAAGTGATATCTCTTACTCACACTTTTTTGTTTTTGTAATTTGTTGATTGCTTTTGAGGGATTCATGTTTCTTAGCAGATTGAATAAAGTTTGTCAACCCCAGTCTGACTAGCTCATCTTGTAAGATCTCTTCCCCTTTAGGCTGACTGGCAGAGGTACCAGCTTATGAGAGCAATTTGGGGGCCCAATGTTGTGATGCCACATAACATCTTCAGCATCTATCTTTATTATACAGTTCTTTCCTCTACAAAGGTTGTGGAGTCTAGTATACCTGAAACAGCAATTCCTGCTGGATAACTCTCAATTTCAAATCTACAGAAACTAAAAACTACAAACTCTAAAACAATTTCCCCTTGCTTTGGTTGTATCGCACATTATAATCCCCTATTCAACAACTCTCTACATTGCTGAACATCTACTTTACAAAGCTCAGAAAAGCATTTATAAATGGTAATTGTGGTTTTGGTTTTCTGAGAAGATCCAATTACTCTTTCCAACAATTTAGAAGATGCCAAAGAACTCAAAGCAAGTAGTTCTTAGATGCCAACAGGTGTAACTGAAGTTACTGCTACTCTTGAGGAAATCATTTTTATACCGCAATATAGAAAATACCAAAAATTCTCCATCTGAACCTATCAGATGATTCAGTGTATAAATCCCACAATCAACCCATTTCTTTCACAAAAGACGGCCTCTTTATCTTCAAATCTAGATTACCCTAAAAATGTTAATTTGGCAGGAGCCTATGGGTCAATTTGTAACTGATTAGACAATATATGGCACTTCACTCGAGTTGCTAAGATAGTAGGTGGTATTAGTCTTTGTTATGTTTTGACCCTAAAATTACCCATGTTGGGGTATTCACAGAAGAAGAAACAAGCTAATCCTAATCTATGCATCATGTATAAACTAAATCAAAACTTTCTTCCGATACTGGTAGCTGCATTCTCTTAAGTGATAGGTGAGGTGGAGATTTGCTCCAAATAAACTTCAGATGCATAACACTGATCTTTTGAAAATACAGTTGATGAATACATAACAAAATACCTCATAGCATGTATATTATCTGAGGCAAAATATTTATCTTACTTATATCAACCTTACCTCAATTACTAAAAGATTGCATGTCTGTTTGCACTAAGGGCTGTTTCTCAATGGTGAAATTTCTTTCAGGTAACATAATAACACGAAGGGAGGGATATAAATCATAGACATATATACATAACAAACCAAGTGTATAAGTGTGCCATTTTCTTCTCCAGCTCAAGTGGTACTTGGTTATCCTTCAGCTGTAGTGAGTTCATTTGTGGCACTATTTATTGTGCCTCATGACACATTTGGGAAGGTCTTTGGTCAGAGCCAGTGGCAGGCGCAGGGGCATAGTATGGGTTGCCACAAACACACAAATCTTGATACCCGCAAAGCTGATGCAAAAGGTAATTATCAAAGCATTGAAGAACTCACTTGATTAAGCCAGATCATTGGGAGGCTTCTATTCTCCAAAACAGTTTAGGGTGATTTGATGCGGAAATTTCTTTCTCATTTTGAGCTGGGTGATTTGTCCATCCAAATGTATTTGCCCATACAAATGGACAATAACACAGTAATATAGATTTCATCAGGGCTGGATTTAGATGAAGAGAGGCCCTAGGCTACTCCACTTGTGAGGCCCCTCCCCATCCCCCACCCTCACAACTAGAAGGAAATGGAAGAGTGTTATGAACAAAACTGAGTGAAGCTAAAGATGATGATGGGTATTTAAAATTCTACCATTCACAGTTTCTCCTCTAAAGGACATAAGATATTATTGTTAAATACCATGGTGATTTAAAAAAATGCATAAAATGAACACTGGAAAACTTTTGCAATAACTGAACTTTTTAAACCTTTTGTGGCCTGGGCAGGCCTGGAACTAGTTCCCATGTCTTATTCCTCTCTAAGGAATCAATTTCAACCTTCATGGTGTTTAACTATGGCTCAGCATCCTCTGAGGATAAACTCTGGACCTCTTGGAAGCTTGAAGGTTCCAAACCTTCTCTGAGTTACTAACAACAGCTGTATCTGCTATGACTGTTTTAGCAAACTCTTCAGCATACCTTTTGGGTGGTTTGTGGCCCTTTCAGATCTGCGTACCATACACAAGTCTCCCATGCTAGGCTTCTCCTCTTTAGGAGAATGGTGGGCATTGAATTTGTGGGTGCTAGTCAATTTCCCTTGCCTCTAATGGGATTGAAACAAAGGCTTAA